TGAAAAGTTAGACCTCATGTCATAAAGTAGATGGCAATACTCCCGTAGCTACCTACCACATTAGTCTGCGGAGGTCTCGTCGCACCAACTGGTCTGTGAGCTCATTCATCTGTAGCGAAAAACCACGAACTGAGTTTGCAATTGATGAATTAATTGTGGCCTAAATTAATGACACATAAAATTTTATTAAGGGCTTGCTTATTCGAAATTGACGGTGTCAGTAATGCGTAGCTTTATAACCAGCTTCTAGAAGAGAATCTCCATTTATTATTCATTACGTATTTTGTCCTAAAAAAATTTCGCCATAAATAAACAGATCACGTTAATACTTGTTAGATTTTGTTTCTTAAATTATTCCTTTATAAATATGCGATATACGTACAGATTCCCCATTTATTCTCAATAATGTTCCGGATTCCGGTCACCGTTCTCGTCGAAGCCGTCGCTTGCGACGAAGGGCTCGACGAGTAAATTAATCCTCAGACACAACCCACTGAGTTTCTCGCCGGATCTTCTCAGTGGGTCGCGTTTCCGATCCGGTGGTAGATTTTCCGGTGGTAGGGTTCGTATTAGCAACGTCGTCAGGTTTGAGCCCCGTGAGCTCACCTACTAGTTAAGGTTCCGCTGAAATAGCCTCTCAAGGCTATCAGCTTAGGTAGGAAAAAAAGAAGCTCCGGAGTGAGAAACTCCTTTTTACATATATCAGGTTGCTTATTAACATTGGCAATTCTTTAAGAAACAGCAATGGTTTTTGTAGTCGGTATTCCATTTTTTGAGTTGCTGTGTGATTTATGCGATGTAAGAGAAGATTTTAGAGGGTTTTATATTATTACTCTTATTAAAGAAATTATTAACATTTTTTTTTTATTTATATGCCGAAACCTTTCTTTTAAATTAATTAATTTAGGAATCATTCTTAAGTAATCAGATAGATTAAAAGGATCCATCAAATTAATTTGATATTAAGTGAAATAAATGAACTATTGAACTCATCACTTGGTATTGAGTTTAACCGTAATAAAAATAATAACAATATGTATTTATTTCAAAGCTCATTCAGTTATTTCAATGTAAGACTGTGATTTATTCTATAAATAACTTGTTTTCGGATAACTATAAAAGCAGTTCATAATAATTAATAAAAAAAAAAAATGTGTGCGTGTACTAGTGTACACACGTAAGAAGTGAAACTTGTTTATGGCCTTATTTTTCGAAAAATGATCTACATGCAACTTTCTAGAAATTGGTTAAATAAAGTTAAATTAGATAAAGTTTAAACAAAAGGATTTTATTATCATAGACATGAATACAAATAATACAATTATTTCACTTTACCTTTTTGCTACTAAGATTATTACAGCATTTTAATAATACATCTCTTTGATATCATAATACCCTGGTACTTTTCTTCCTATAAATTAATAATAATAGCACGGTCCACGTGGTGTTAAATGGGGTTCCTGAGGTTCGTGAAGTTTGACCCACCTTGAGACATGAGGTCGATTTCTCAAATCCGAAACCATGCTTCAGAACATACCGCCGTTAATTATTAATAAATCTCTTTGCTATCATAATACCCTGGTACTTTTCTTCCTATTATTTTACGTAATAACAGTAATAAATAGCACGGTCCACGTGATATTATTAAGTGGGCTCCCTGAGATTATTGGAATTACAAAATGATTTCCGTAATCCACCTGGAGACATGAGGTCAATTTCTCAAATCGGAATCCATACTTCAGAACATACAGCCGTTAATTAATAAAGAAGGCTGTACGTCAGAGTAAAGTTATAATAATACATCTCTTTGATATCATAATACCCTGGTACTTTTCTTCCTATTATTTTACGTAATAACAATAATAGCACGGTCCACGTGATATTAAGTGGGTTACCTGGGATTATTGCAATTACAAAATGTATTCCGTGACCCACCTTGAGACATGAGGTCGGTTTCTCAAATGCGCATCCATACTTCAGAACATACAGCCGTTAATTAAAAGATGGCGCGTAACGGAAAAATGTGACGCGTAACCGAAAAATGTGACGGTAAATTTTTTTCCAACGCCGATAAGGAAGTTTCACTTCAAAAATCGGTATTTGAAACCAATCACAAGTATCAAAGTTCACGGTCGTTCTAATTATTATTTATATAACTAAGCGTTGCGTGTTTTATTTAGGTGTATCAAGATTTTCCACGATTCGATATGATAAGAAAGTTTTTATGATTAGATCTCACGTTTATTTCGTTCATCGAATATTTTACAGTTTTATTAGTCACCGATGTATTCCGACTAATTAGGACGATCACGAGACAGGCCACCTCGTGTTCAACAGTCATCAGTGCTCATAGCCACTACAATGTAGAAGATGCTCCCATGCTGAAGCTACAGATTCAATTTTTTTTTTTCTTAGATGGGTGGACGAGCTGACAGCCCTCCTGGTGTTAAGTTGTTACTGGAGCCCATAGACATCTACGACGTAAATGCGCCAACCACCTTAAGATCTAACTTCTAATGTCTCAGTATAGTTACAACGGCTACCCCACCCTTCAAACCGAAATGCATTACTACTTCACGGCAGGAATAGGCGGGATGGTGATACCTACCCGTACGGACTCACAAGAAGTCCTGCGTTTCGGTTTGAAGGGTGGGGCAGCTGTTGTACCTATACTGAGACCTTAGAAGTTAGATCTTAAGGTGGGTGGCACATTTACGTCGTATATGTCTATGGGCTCCAGTAACAACTTAACACCAGGAGGGCTATGAGCTCGTCCACCCATCTAAGCAATAAAAAAATAAAAACATGTATATACGTTCTAACTCCAACCAATTATGTAAATATAAATACGTACATATTTCAAAGTACACAAAATAAAATCGTTCATGTTCTTGTTAAAAACATCCGTCAGTCTATTCAAACATGTCCAAATAGGAGATTAAATTGATAATATTCCGGAGAAAACAATGCATCTTTAGCCCAAAGCCAGTCAAAGAAGTCCGCAGTGCGCGGTTTTGGCTTAAACGAGACAGCGAACGTAGGAGAGTGTTGGTAAATCGATGTTAGAACGAAACAGACGTGTACCCGTCTCGCTCGACGCCAGTACGTCTGCACTGAACGCACTCGCAGTTCCTTTCAGCGTGCGTGTTGTACCAGTTTTGCACTTAGTTTTTTTTTTTTTTGCTAATTTTTTTATTCCATTATTAAATTATCAGCAGGATGTCTTTGTATCTTTCTGATTAAATTACTTAATCAACAATTATTTCATTTTCACGATTATAATTCGACGCTTACAAAATTACCTTTGGAAATATGAATTGTGAATGTCCATTGTACTGTGATTTGTAGATGTACATTATTAAACGTCTAAAAAAGCATAAGAAGTTTTTATTAGTGGAACTAACCGGTGTTCGGTAATTTGAATTCATAAATAACGTATTGGGTAACGTCATTCATCAAATCCTTAAAACTGATACTTAAGATTACTCACAACAGAAATTGTCAGGACGGTATAACTAAACTATATTTAACAGGAGAGGGTCTGTTAGATAGATATTTAAATAGGAAATAAAATGAAATAAGGTTCTTAGTACATTTTAGGGTTTCCACTTCTTTCGGATTATCGGAAAATTGCGAAGCTATAAGCAGTCGATTCATTTTTAGCATTTTTTTATTTATTTCAATTGCCTATCCCTTTCATTGGTTATTTCTTTATTAAGCATACAAATTGAATTTTTGAAAAAATACGGTTCTATTTTAGTCAGGACAAAACGTATACGCCTTTTTATGTTTACTATTTGTTTAGTTAATGAAAGTCTAGACTAAAAACAATGGTTAGATAAGTTTTATTTTTAGTTTTTGTGTAACCTTATAATTTGGTATGTAATAAAATTATTACCGATACTTTTTCAAATTTACGGATCGAATTATTGGAGTACGGTATCGTTGCTAATGTTACGTCACTAGTTGGTTGTCAATCGATTGGGTGCGTCGGGTTCACAAACATTAAACAGCTGTAGCGCTTCGGGCGTCCCCGTCTTTGTTCGCCGCCAGTACATGTACACACAATGCGGAATCTATAGTGTTTCATTCACTCACATCGCTCTAAATGGTATAAATCGTACTCTAAGTTTTAAAGAGTCAAAGACAGTGTTAAAGTTTTAAGACGCCGTGGCCTATATTATTATTAATAGCTGTAAACTTTTGCGTCAGTTGGAGAACTTGAAGAGTGGGAGAGCTGTCACACAAAATTGAGTCTTCGGTCTCAGGTTTCAAGGTGGCCGGTGTCGTTTATGATATCTATGCACTGGTATTATCAACGGATAACCCATCTAGTGCAATATAAATAAAGGGTTCAAATTGACTTTTTCTGTTCAAAATTAGGTTTATTAGTTATATTTAATGATGTTGTTATGAATCAATTTACAGTTTTTATTGTTATAGACAATCTGACTAAATTCGGTCAGGGGTGCGATAAACTAACCGTTTTTTTAAAGTCAATGTATGCCATGCATTTTTTTGAAGATCCGGATCTAAAACCTACTTAGAATATGATATGTACATAGTATACTAAACATATACAAATATAATCAAAAAGACAGACATAGATGCAATGAGCAGTCAAGCGAGCGAAACATACGGGAATAAATTAAAACTTTCCATTATTCCGTAGGTATTAAAGTTGTCTGCAAACATTTTTACCTTAGAACTTATATCTCAAGGTGGGTGGCCATTTACGTTGTGCATGTCTATGGGCTCCAGTAACCACTTAACACCAGGTGGGCTGCGAGCTCGTCCATCCATCTAAGCAATAAAAAAAAAAAGTAATAAATACATAATTAATTTCAAAGAAATATAGCACTATAAAATAATTTTTTCGAGAGGTATACAAGAGGAAAGAGGTTATTAATAAAGCGAGATAAATGCATAATTGAAATACTAGCCTATAGATTATGGTCACAGTCTGAATCGAGTTCGTTGCCGCGTTTCGACTCAGTGCCTCGTGAGTGCTGCCAACAGGAGGTCTTGCCAATACCTCTACCGTAAATTATTGACAGGACAAGCGCGTGTGACATTCCCGTGACGGTGCGGTGACAGTAATGTGAGGACAGTTTGTTGGGTGAGTGAAGACAACGATTTTAGGGGAGATGTGAATTAAAAAAAAAAGAGTTTAATTCGTCGAATGTAGAGTTTACTTTTTTTTATATTTTATGTCTTGGAGTTTACAGATTGGAATCATAATATGAGTATTTTTGTTTTAATTTTTGTATTCGAACGAGTCGATAAGTGTTTCTTCGAAATTAGAATTTGACAATCGAGTAGTCTTTTTTTTAGTAATACAATGTAAAGTGTTAACAAAGAGAGTTGAAATTTCATGAAAATGAATTCAGTAAGTAGAACTTTAGTCACTGAGTTTTTTTAATGTACTCTACATTTTTCTTGTTCATTTTGGCTAGATATTTGCTGTTTAGCTGTAAATTAAACATTACTAACGTAGACAACGCGGAAAGTCAAACAAAGAGAACTAAGCAAGTGCTCTATTTTTCTTATATCTAGAATTATTCTTGAAAATATAGCAGAAATTATATGTTTTAATGTCGAATTTGAAAAAAATAGAGTCAATATAGAGTCATTAATTAATGTAAATTATATTTAGTTACTGCGGATTTCATAAATTGTTTTGTGGATGTATTTCTATTTATATGTGTGCGGTGTATACTCGTAGCTCTGGGATCTGAAGAATAATTGTACTTGTGAATAATCAATTAGATTCATTGTTGGCTGTCACTTGTAAAGTTGATGGGTTACTTTGTCATTACGTCAATAGTTTTTCTATTACCATTGTTACCACGATAGAGATGAAACAACAAGCACTATGACTTATTTCTTTGACTTCAATTAATAAAAATGGAACTAAACCAGAATAATTGTGGGTTGTTCGAACATAAAATAGTTGTTGAGATATGAAATTTCATACATATTAATTTTAATAGAGTGATAGAGTACATTGTAGTTATATAGCGCTCAGAGTCAACACTTGAAAGTAAAGTCAATGTAGAGTTGATGAACTGCTTTTTTCAGTACATCCTCACTGTTGTGCTCAATATAATAAAGAAACTAGTAATTTTTATTTAGCTTCATTATATGAAAACCTAAATCCAGTAAGCTAAATATTTGTATCGTGACTAATAAACGTTCCGTTAATGAAAACAAACGCGACCTATTTAATTAACGTAATTTGGAAACGCTACGTAGTGTTTTACAATTGTTTCTCGACTCTATATAGAGCTCTACTTATATTCATTAGTATTTTTAAAATTTCAAATAAAAATAACATTTAGATTATTCTAATACGGCTTATGATTGACATTAATTCCATATATAGAGCTCAGGAACGTGTTCAGAAAAATATTTTGGTACTTCATGTAGAGCAATTTACTATATTATGAAGTTTAAAAAATTTAGTACTAGTTAGTATTTGTATGACTACTAACTAGAAGATGTGTGACTTCAGTTATCTATCCTGTGGCTATTTCCCCACCATCTGGACTCAGTATAATTCTTGTCATTTCGCAACTTTATCCGTTTCGTAACTCCTGTACTGATGGTAGCATTTGTATGGGTCGATGCAAGACCTACCATTCTTAAGAGGAGCTAATAAGCTCTTTTCGGTAGGCAGCGGCTTGGCTCTGACCCTGGTATTGCTGAAGTCCATGGGCGACGGTAACCACTCACCATCAGGTGGGCCGTATGCTCGTCTGCCTACAAGGGCAATAATTTTTTTTTTTTTTTACGTTGTTTTAAGAAACCTGAACTGTAAAAGAAAATATGACTAATTTATCTGCAATTTTGGGTATCGTAAGGTTGACTTTTGATTGGCTGCCAAGCGACAGTCGAACCATAAACCAACGAAGGCCTAGCGTTCTAACAGACAGTACTGCGCTCCCTTACGACCCTATTCTATTCGCATAACAACGAGAGTTTTTAAATTTACTGTTAGTATCAACCCTGCACGCATACCCCTCCACTCTGGCTATTTCTGTTAAAACATCCCAAGGTGAATGGTAAACTAAATGTAATGTTGTTATAACGTGCTACGGTAAATTATGAAAACCGCGGGAACTTGGCCACTTTTGAGCATAATATGTAAAAGATTTTCTCTTGAATATTTTCCTTTGTGTCTACTCTGGGTTATGGGATGCGAACGAGAAAATTTTATGAGAACATTATGTTTTATCCGCAACCAGGATATGGCGAGATTATGAACGCTAATTTTCTCTCTTATACTTATTACGTAATTCAGTAACGAGGAAGCTTCAATAGGAATTGAGCTTTTGAAACTATGGGACAGGGCGGAATATTACGAACAGAGCTTAAAGTTTTGCGAGTCATAATTTATCTTTATTTGTAAAGTTCAACGGCAAGTTTTATAATGAAAGCCTATGCGTTACATGATATCTTCGATAGGCAACAATATAGCGCAGGGTTTTATTAAAAATAAGATAATAGGGATTATGACGAAACTAATTAAGTGATTTAAAAAAATCATGAGTATCTATCTACATGAACAATGAAACACTGAAATGTTTTACTCTTTACATTACTAAGCTCTACATATCGTATTGAAAGTATGCCATGTATACATATTTTGTAAATGTTTGTTTTTGGATGATTTCTGGCGGAGGGTGGCGAGAAAGGAATAACCGCTTCAAAAGCACTACCTTTTGGTCAAATAGACGAGACTGTTGTTATACCGTGCATGAAGCAAGCCATGCAAGTGCAGACAGACAACATGGACGGACAGCAAAAAATAGATTGATAGACCAGACCTAAACAGCAGACCGCAAAAAACCAGACGCTCCAACTAAATTGATCCACATTGCTCGAATATAAACCGATTAGATCCGGCAAACAACTTGTAATAGTTATACTCATTTATTACTTTGTTTTTTAAGCATAGATTAATAGACGAAATCGCTACTTAACCATCATTAAATGTGGTCACAGAAGCTCAATTAAACTCTTAACGCCCTTTCTGAAGCATTAGTTCTAAATCTTATTATAATAATTTGTATATTCAAAATTTATTATATGTTACACAATACTCCTTATCTTTGGTTTCAAGATTTAATCTACAACAGAAACAGTAAAAATCACCATCCTTTGCCTAATTATCCAAACCGTCAAAGTTCTATTTGAGCAAATTCAATGAATCAGTGGCATCTTGGTTTGATACATTTGTGACTGCGTCCGTGACTGATTTATTTTGTTTTCTACAAATAAAGCCCGGCCACGCTCCGCTGTGACTATCGGTATGAGAAAAGAAAATTGCTAAATATGTTTTTTTTTTTTTTTTATTGCCCTTGTAGGCAGACGAGCATACGGCCCACCTGATGGTGAGTGGTTACCGTCGCTCATGGACTTCAGCAATGCCAGGGGCAGAGCCAAGCCGCTGCCTACCGCTTAATACTCTCCATAAGCCTCGTTTGAAGAAGGACATGTCATAGCGCTCGAGAAACACCGTGGAGGGGAGCTCATTCCATAGCCGGATGGTGCGTGGCAAAAAAGATCTCTGGAAGCGCACTGTGGATGACCGCAGTGGCTCCAGGTAGTATGGATGAACTCTACTCCGGTGGCGAACGGTGCGGTGGTAAAAACGAGATGCCGGTATCATCTCGAATAATTCCTCAGAGCAATTCCTGTTAAAATTAATCGCGTACCATCAGTCGAATATTGATGGTACTATAGCTGAAATATTTCCTAGAGAGCCAAGAAACAATCAACCTTCATCACAATCTGATGTATGGCTCAGAGAAGCAGGCATGAAATATTTCATTTTAATGACGGTTCGGATTGTTGTGCTCAATTGAGAGTCCATAACTATACGAATGTGCGGTCAAATATTGATTTAAATTGCGATTGATTGGAAAGAAATTTTCATTCGTACTATGACGTCTTCGGGAACTACGATGTTTGTTAGAGCTACTTTATCTGCCAAGGTCTCCTCAAGTCGTCAACACGATGAAAAAAATTTTACGGTTTGATGTCTCCTTTATTCAATCATTGTAAACGATTCGGAAATTTTAGAGTTTTCTATTAAGGTAATAAGTATTATAGTTATAATGTAATTTTGTTATATTTTTTTAAAAGCATAATTAAAATGTTCAAGTTTTAATCTTCCATAAAGTTTTTAATCGTTTTTTAATAACTTGACAGTCCGATGAGCTTATGGTCCGTGTGATGGTAGATAGTTATCGTAACGCATAGGGATCAGCAATACCACTGGCAAAGCCAAGCCACTGCTTAGGGCTGTGGTTTAGAGTATAGGTAATATTTTCTTATCTAACATATACCAAGCTGTAATAAATACAATAATTACATCTCCGATTCGCGTGAGCGCGTACATTTTTGTATTTCATTAGAGAGTTTCTTTTTTCTATTCTACTAGTAATTATTGTACTTACTCTTTTATTCTGTAAATAGTATAAAAGAAATTTGCTCTGCGCCCCTTTTTATTTCTCTGCTCATTTCTTTGAAATCACGCAACTAATTTCGATAAGTATGGAAGGTTAATGTTTGTAATTTGTAAATGTTTTTCACAAAATAGCTGTCATATAACGATATTATAACTAAAAAAAAACTATTTTCGTGCGCATACATACATGGCTATAGCTAATCAAATTTTGAAAGAACTTGCAAATAATAAGCAAAACCAATCAATAAAGCAAAATCAATAACCAATAAATTCGAGAGAATAAGCAAAACCAAACAATTACCATCAATCCGGTACCACTGTAGGCTTTTCACCGCCTCTTACAATATCGTACTCTATTTACGGACGTGTCCTTCAATACCTTTATTGCTGCCCTAAGTAACGATCAATAGTAAGCAAACTTCAATACTACGTACAAATTGTTGAAGAAATATTATACTTTAGAAAATCAAACACATAACATCGAAAGTGGCAAACAATTATCACCATATAAACCTTATTTAACGGATTTTTACAATGATTTTTATAATTTTATTTTTTTAATACACAGATGGCTAAATGAGCTCACAGCCAATCTGCTGTTAAGTAGCTGTCGAAGTCCATAGACAGCGTAGATGCCATCACAT